ATTTGATACTATTTTTTGTAACAAGTATTATTCTTACTTTATATATTGTGTGAAAAAAAGAAATTAGTTTGATCTTAAAACAATCACATTTTAACTCTCGTCGCCGCTAGAGTTTTCTCTCGACGGGTGAGCCTCTCGCCTAGCCGCTACTCCTTGTTTTGAAGGGCTTCTCCCCTTGTTTTTCTTTCTTTTCCACCCATATTGGCTTGGAATTATCGCAATCTTGGAGAGGCTTACACGATCTTTGAGTCAAACCAATTGTGCCTCTAGCAAAAGCCTAATTTTGTCCTGCTCCCTACAACAAAGCAAACGGTAATGGAGATGAATTTGCTCTGAATAGATGTAAGGTTAGCTCACTGTTCTGCAAGCGATTGTGCAGATAAAGGGGTGGATTGACTCTATTCTGGAATGATGCATTTAACCTTCAAGTTTCCTCTTTCTCGCCATCTTACATAGACGTTGTAATAGTAGATCCAGGTGGTTGTTAATGGCAATTAACAAGATTTTCCAGCCAATCAGAGACTGCTTGCAAGGATGAGTCATGGACCCTTCTCAAATCACCCAAGACAATTTCTCCTCTGCTTGGGCTGTGTTTAGGCGATTTCAATGATATCTTGAGCAAATCAAAAAAGGAGAAGGGCAATTTCAGATTCTGGTCAAGCTATGCATGGGGGGTCATAGGTGGCTTTTGGTGTGGAGGGCCAAATTTACATGCCATGGGGGAAGCTGATGGTGTTCTGCAAGGGAAGTATGGTATTCAAGTTGGCAAAAGGGCTCTAGTTCCCTTAACAACTTATGGTAGCAAGGGCTTGAAGAGGATTGGAAAAGATAGGAACATGTTTGGGAGCACTTGCAGACGAATGGGGTACCTTGTGATTGCATAGAGGAGGACCATACCCCTCCTCTTGTCAATTATTTTTTAAGAAAATAGATTGGATGGCAACCTATAGTTTGAGGACTATTTGTTGTCGAAATCCTTTGCTTTCCCCATGAAACTGGTTAATTAGGTGAGGACGTCCAGTAGCTTTTGATGCTCATAATGACTTTTTTTTTACATTAATAGCTCTATTTAGCCCATACAGCAATTGCAATTGCAATCTCTAGTTACAGATGACTCTTTTCATTTAATTGTTTATACTCGTCATAAGTATAGTTTAAATATGTTACTAGTACCGTAAGTTATGTTTTTGGTTCTGCTCTTAGGCTATATGCCCTGCATGGAGATTTTAATGTACTTTTTTATTATTTAATATATTTCTCCATTTCCTATCAAAATAATAAAAAAAAAAACAAATTACATTTTAAATCAATTAAATTAAGTTTAGTAGAAACAATTTGAGTTTCACAAAATTTTATAACTCAGTATTAGAAAATCACAAACCAATTAAAATATTTATAATCTAATTATTTAATATCACATTTTTTTAAATATTTCATTTTATTATTTATTTCTAATAGTAATTTTTTTCTTTCTTTTAAAAACAAATACATCTTAACAAACCGCAAGCCAGATAAAAACCAGGACAAATAAACATACCACCACAGTAGCATATCGTTAATTTCCTTATGTAAATGAGATCTGGTTCCAGTCACACAGCATATGGGTGAAGAGCACTAAACTGATGAGAGAAAAGTTATCCCCTGCTGTGTAACCATGAAAAGCAAGGTAATATAAAAATAAAAACCAAAGAAAACAAGTCCAAGAAATTCAAAAGAAAAATATCAACTTAGGTCAATTATTCCCAGAAAGGGTCCTTACCTGAATTCTGCAAGAGTATATTGGAATTGCAATATTTTTTTCTTAATTAATATGCTTCAATCATATATACAACAAAGATGTTCAAGGATAAAAAGCATAATTTCTACAGCAGGTAACTGCATTTTTCTTTCTTCGCAAACTCTTTTTTATTACATTCAAACATTAACTACTAATTACACTATTTTTTTTTTTTTAGCTAATTGCTGGGTTAAACTGTATTTTATCTCTTGGTTTGCCCCCATATGAGTGCAAGCAATGCTGGAGAATTAGTATGAGCCTTTACCTTTAGGAGTAGCTTCTCCAGAAACAAGCACATCAAAGTCACTAACAGTCCATTCTGCAGTCTCTCCAGCTTGACTGACATATATCTCAGTACCAACATTGATTGAAGACCATATTCGCCGTGCTGGCTTTGTTCCTGGATCCTGCACAGGGCAATGTTCAGCTTTTAAGTCTTTCCGATGCACCAGATGATTGCATCAATACAAGAATGATACTCAGGGGCATTGCGCAACTAGCATTTACATTTTTAATAAACTAAAAATGATAATGAACCCCTGAAAAGGCCAGAACAATAGCTGTCTTATTTTAGCCTGGCTTCTCAGAGATATTGGTTTTAGCAGGGTTGTTTGGATCACGGAAGCTAGCTTAGTTGGGCCACCTGAAGCCAGGACATCTAAACTAACCTTGTTTTTAGCAGTCTTAGGATAAGTGAAATGCACAAGGAAATTGTAGTACTAAGATAACTGGTCCTATAAAAAATTTTAATACTCAAGTAAGCAGACATGTAAAAGCCCATAAACACAGGTAAAATCCATTTACTAAAACCCTGCTAATTCTACTGTTAAGAAATGTAGTTATTTATCTGTCTTAGTTAACTACTGATTTGAAACATACAGATTTTTACACAATTATTTTAGGAAACTGTTGCCTAGGATAATAAGGCAAAGAGGTTTTTTTGCCACATAGTGCCTTGAGTATTCACTTTTGATTTTAGTTATGACTAACCCACTTTGGTTTTTTTATTTTTTATTTTATCAAAGAGTTAGGACTGCCTTGATTCTTACAAGGTAAGGATCTCAAAGAATTGCAAACCAATCCCAGAAACAGAAGCCACTAGAGAAACTGAGATAGGGAGATAGACCAAGACAGAAAGACAGACCAAATGGAGCTATTCTATTATTTCTCAACTGTGACACCAATGCTACAAAGGTAAACCAAAAAAGAGAGAAGATACCTGGTAGAAGTATAACCGACTTGAGAGGGCACCCACATCAAGCTCCCAAGTTCTAGAATCCCCAATCCATCCATCTCCTTTCTTTTCAGGATAGCCATGTATAGCCCATTCAGGATGTGGAAGAATTTGAACTAACTCTTGCGCTTGTGGATTGCTATAGGGGTCACAAATATCATATGGCTTCTCAAAATATTTAGCATTTCCTGGGCTACAATAGAGATGATAAGCAGAATATGGAAAATGTTTTGTGTCATTTCTATAGATTATCTCTCCAGTAGGACTGATATGGTAAGGTGGGCAAGAAACCAGATTATCTGGGCGGCACCAGCTTGTGGTTGCTGGATTAATTATCATCTCACTATATCTAGTTACATCTGTTAGAACATCACCATCGCATGGTTCTCCATTGTTCTTCCAACAGCTTCCAATATCAACCAGATAAAATTGACTGTTGGATCCTCCTCCATGTTTGATATCAAGTGTCAGTTTCACCCAGAAATTTGGGGACTCTGGTAACTGAAATAACAAACACAGTTCAAATAAGTCATGCATTAGAGACAGGTCCAAATCCTTTCAAAAGTGGATTAAAGAAAAAGAACCTCCAACATGGAACAGGAGGTGACCCCATCATAACCACAATAATTAAAATTATTATCATCCTTAAGAAATGATGTTCTCAAGCAGGATACCAAGCCTTAGAGCAAGTTACATGGAAAAAGGAAAGGAAACCAAGAGTAAAGGCATGATTGATCATCATGATTATTATCATTTGAAGGTACGAGACAATAAAAAAAGACATGCTCGGGGTTTAAAAGGAAATAAGGAATCCACCTGCACCACCCGGTATTTGGGTAAAACTCAGTCCAGGAATTAAGACAATGATCAAATGAGTGGCAATTTTTGCACACAGAGATGTACACACAGAAACACAAGAACATTCATCATGCATATTTATCAACAAACCTTATGCATGATGCCACGTCCATTATAGTGATAACCACCATTAAATCCTTCTGTTGCATCTGCACGCAGATACAACATAAGCCAAGGATACTTGGCTGAAGTTGTCAGCCTGTGGGAGAAAATCCAACTTCCGGTGCTTATATTCTTGTGCCATGAGACTGAAAAGAATGAGTTGTTCCCCACACCTTTGCTCAAGTTAGCATCAAGGTCATATGTTCCATAGAATTCTCCAATTAAAGAATCGTTTTCCTCCCCAGAAGAAACCAGTCTCGAGTAATTATGATAAACAAGTGGCTGGTTCATACACCCTTCACCAAAGCATGGAAAATTTCTGCCTGTAATTATTTTACTTACTTTCCTTCCATTCTCTGGGCAAAGTGTTGTGTTTTTGTCAAAGTTACCATTTTTTAACATGATCATCCAAAATTGCCATGGTTTCGTGGATTCATTCACTTCACATAGAGAAGCAAGATAAAGTTCCTTTTCTGTTGCATACAAGTCAGGATCCGTGTAAGATTCAAAACCAACAAATGGAAACTTATCACCAGCCCCTAAATTGTTGTCAGTATCATTCACTTTGTGATGCACTTTACACTTACAACCATAACCAAGAGGGTTGCGACCCAGAGAATCTGAAGTTGAACCAATACAAATTAAAAAAAAAAA